ACTCGGAACACTTTTCCAGACTAAAAGATACCACTATGTTATATCAAAACTACCCTGAAGGGTATGCTCTCCACGAGTAGATCATTTCAACTAACCTTAAGATTTAATTAAAAAACAAAACCAATGTCCAACTGTTTTCAGTGTCAAAACCGATGAAGCATACCAAATAATAGTATTTTAAGTATTTTATCAGATCCTAGAATAGATCCAGGCAATTCTAATGCTACAGATTAGAAACACCTCCCCAGGTCGTTCACTTAAAATAAAAGTCAGTGAAAGCCTCGCTTCGCTCTCACCAGAATATGTTTTGTTTGTCTTTGATAATGATCCTTCTCTTTTCATTATTAGCAGGGTGCTATCAGTAAGCATTTAACTGCCTATAAACACAGCTGTACTTTAAAGACACACAGACACATTGACCAGCTGGACTGAAGTGTCTGTTCACTCATTGCCACAGACCGTTTTGGATTTCAGATTACTTTTTTTCTTCCCTTTTTTTCCCTCAGATTTTGAGAGAGTGGCATAAGCACACTCCCTGCTATCTTTCTTCAAAACGTACCAGTTGCTAAGCCACATACCACAATTTTCTGACCATAAAACTTCACCAACTAGAACGGCACTAGTTTGGGCAAAGCCCAGTGTTGCATTACATCACTGTCATACCATCACCTATCCCTAAAAGGTTCTCGGAAAAAGAAACCACACACTAAGCCACTCCTGGGACCAGTACTTTGGCCCATGTCTTCCAGCCTCCTGCGGTAAAGTCTGGTATTTCTGTGGAACATTCAGGGCTCAAATCCCAGATCCCGAGAAGGAAGTGCAGAAAACCCAGTCTCTGAAGACTTCCAGGATCCTTGCTATAGAACTGGCCAATGGACTGGCATTTCAAAACAACTGTTAAACAACAAATCACAAGCAGAACACATAGTTATGTTGCAGACCCAACCTTCAACATGACATTGCCAACTACATTCTCATCTTTCGAAATACCATGGTTCTGACCTGAGCCAAAAAATTACCTGAGATGAAGGGACAGGGATGACAAGACAGCTCCTTTTCCCTTGATCTTGCTCTTCACCTTCAAAATCCTCTATAGTTTCTTCAGAAGCTAATCTTCTTTTCTGCTGCACATTTACTTCTGATTTTAATGACTCCATATTACTTTCTCCCCTTCCTTGGCCTTTTTTCATTCTACTACCTTAAAAGAAAAGTAAAAGGGTACTTTTGGAATGCAACTTTTTACAGTGAAATCCTTATCACATTAGAAATCTAAAGCTACATCAAAGCAGAACACTGGGCAAAAAGCGCGAGAAACAGCAGCACTTACGCATGCGCTATTTTAACAACACATTTTTCACTTCACACTTATGGGAGTAAAAAGTATGTTTTAGAATGACACAGATGTTTGAGGGGGAAATTTGAAGGAAAACAATAAATAGGTGGCAAAGGATATTCTGGACTGACTGCATCAGTATGACTGACAATTTCATTTACACAATAGGAGCTGGTCAAGTAAACCAAGGATGACTTTTACCACAGACCTTTCAAGTAAATATCATTTCAGACTACCAGTTTATACACACAAATATCAACTAATTAGGACATGGCAAAAACAGGGTATGCCCACTTGCCTAGTCAACCACATCATGGTTGATGATTTCATCAGCCAGTAACTGATAGAAAGACAGCAAATGTGCCTCTCTTTTTAAAGTTTCACATCCCAGAAAACGCTAAGTTCTCTGCTGTGAGGTAGTATTTTCTGGATATATAGCTGGGAGACAACTAGGGCCATTGTGCTGGTTTTGTTAGAGCTCCATCTGCTGCAAAACGCATTCAGAAGGAAGATACTTGATGCCATTTTGCAAGACTTCAAAAACTCTCCCCCTTCAACAAATACAGACATGCCAGAGATGTGTAGGAAGCAAGGAATTTTTCCAAATGTTAATGTCTGACTTCAAAACAACAAATCTGTGTTCTCTTTCCAGTAGGAAGGCATACAGAAGAGAAACGAAAGGGCAGCCTTTTCATTTTACTGTCTACCTTTCTGTCCAATACCACCCTAAAAAGACACAAACTGTTCCACAATTTTAAGGAAATATAAGATTTACTACAGGAGGTAAGAAGCAATTGGTCAGACACTACATGAAATACGTCTGCAGGCCCGCTCAGACATCAAGAGCCAAATTTCTCCATTACACCATCTCAGCAGAAATAGCAGGTGGAAACAGAGGCCTTAAAGAATAGCTGTTGGACACAGAGGAGCAGACACCCACAGACCAGCCACAGTTCACAGGCTTGGACTGACTAACAAAGGGAACTCAGCAGTTCGCACCTAAACCACCTCACACCTCACCGCAGAATGGCAAGCAGGGCGAGGCGCGCTGTCTTCAGCACAGAGAAAGATAAGAAACACTGGGGGAGCGTTGTTAATGTACACAGTCGTTTTCCTTCTCTCATTTCTTTAGTCCTCCAGTTCCATCGATAAAAGTCATCAAAGCCATAAATGCTTTGCGATAAGTTTGTCCGAGAATGTCTAATGGCAGGTTTAGCACTCTATGAGCTCCCAGGACCAAAGCCAGACACGGGAGAAGATTTTCTTGGGATTGTGCCAATGTGGCACCCTCGTGTCTCCCATTGATAGAGAGTAAACACACTACTCTGTTGCCGTTACCGCTAATACGCGGTGGTAGAAGTTTATCGTACGTTCAGGCGTTTCCTTTTGCAGGAAAGACAAGAGGGAATGCAATACTATTTTAGCCTCATACTAGTAAGAAACTACAATAATGTGATGAACTGCTCCTCCTAGGAAAAAACTTTGGACTAAATAATCAAGTTTGATTCAGTCACAGTTAAAAACAAACTAACACACACTACCACCAAAAAAACCCCGACCTTTAAAACCTGTGAAATGAGAAGAATCTAAATTTAGAAGAGCAATCAGTGACTTAAATGTGGAGAAGGCTTGGAATTGAAAGCACAGAAACTACCTAGAATTTACACACTAAACAAAACAGGTGAGTTTATAGGAAAGGGCTCCAGAACACCAGATGTTCAGCTGTCCAAAGAGAGTATATTACCTGGCGTAAAAAAAAAAAGAACAGAAAGAAAATCAACTGATCAGAAAGAGCTCTGTCACACCCATAGGACTGATGACAAAGGAGACAACAGAAGACAGTCTCTGTCAGCTGCCAGGCACAGAACACGGAGAGTGAAGTGACGAATTAATACTTCCTACTACCAAAATTATAATGTAAGAAAATGAGATCAAAGCACATAAATGTATATTGGTATGCAAACACTACACTTCAAACCTACCTCCTTTCATTACAGGCTCAGAAATCCTCTGAACCAGGAGGTCTCTTTCCAGCATCCAAGATGGAAGCACTCTCTTTCTTTGAATAGATTTTGACTGTTCACTTTCATTATCATCATCAGGAGAAACCTGAAACAATATTTACTGTTTAGTACTTCTCTCCATTTACAGAAGAGGTAGAAAAACTAGAACACAAGTTTGTACAGTTATGTTCTTCAAACACAGCCTGGATAACTACCTACTTTTTGTGCAGTGGCCATTGCTTGATTTTTAACAGTTCCTACTCACTCAGAAAACCAACATCTATAGAAACCTTCACGTAGTAAAAAGCACCTCCTTACACCTTTGAAATAAATATCTAAAAGGCTACAGACTAAAAGTTTCGTAGAAGAGCTATATCAGCATGTTGCTATAGAGTTTCAACGCAGAGAAATAAAAGAAAGAAGAGGTTTAACAAACAAATGCCTATTTGTCAAAAAAACAGAGAAGTCTTGCTAGCATTCTCTCAATTCCTTTCTCCAGAAAGGAATCACACTCTAAACAAATTAAATACACCAAAGTCATGTTCAGTACACACTTGCGTACTGAAAGTAGAGATTCAAACTGATAGCATTACTTACTAAAAGGTAAGTATCCATCCCAGGAATCTCAGCTACAGTAAATGCTTCTATTTCATTTGTTGTATGTAGTTATCTACTGTACAATGATGTTGACAAATGCATCCCTTTTAGCACTGTATTGCTGGATACACAACAGAAGACCTAAGAAAAAAATCCCACTGCGTCCACATACTATTTATCAGACTATCTGTAAGCCATTTTTACTCAGCAACTTTTAAAAAAGGCAAAAAGATTCTTTCTTCGAAAACTTTATTTTGCTGGACAAGATGCTGACTGTCAGGGAGAACCACAAAGGTTATTTATCTGTGTGTTTATACGGATCTTGACAACACAACTCATCACAGCTGTACGATTCAAATGAAATTGGCTGCTAGTACACTATAAACAGATACCATAGCCAACACAGGGTATCTACAGTCCAGCTGCACACTCCCCAGATATAAATTTCAGAGGCTTTTAGGCTGGTTGGGAGAACAGTCATTCATTCCCCTAGGTCTTCACAGGTACTTACAGCACAGTTACCGATACAGACCAGAACTGGACTTTGTTCTGTAGTACTGAACTCGGCTACCGTATTATTAGTTCAACATATTCCTGTAGCAATAGCAATTTTTGTATATTCCAGAGAACCGATTACTACAGCATAATTATCATAAACATAAATACACAACAGAAATATATTTATATACTTGTCTAGCATACAATCCCAATCAATAAAACAACAGGTATTTTGAGCATACAACTGTGCCAGAGTTTACTTCTCAGGGGAAAAAAAAAGGGGGGGGGAAGGGGGGGTGTTAGAAAACACAACACCTTTACTTCTTTTTCAACACATGCTTACAAATATTAAATTTACTTTATAAATTAAGCACCCACCAAATGTCTGGAAGTAGCGTCATTTTTTCTCATTTTTGCAGTTCCCTGTATCTCAGAGTGGGAATATGCCGGTTCTATTAACGATGGACTACAAGACATCTCAACAGGATGAACAGTTGGTCCTTCTTCTGCATCAGTCTTCCGACTTTTTTCTGAGAAAGCAAATTAATTTTTAGCTAGTCAAACTCATCATGAATATAAACATGTACTTTTCACTTAAACACAGAGGTTAGTCTGAATGTTTGCCATTAATACACTTCTAAATTTACTGTAAGGTACTCTTACGTCAACTTACAGAGAAAATAAACATGCCTTCCACCTTCCACTGAAAGTATTTCGAACCAAAGATTTGCTGCTGACCCCTACTGTACTGTTCTGGTTTTTAAGTACCTAATTCATACTAGCCACTGCCACGACAGAACTTTCAGAAAGCTGAAATTACAGCTTAGGATTTGCTTCACCATAAATCTGCACAACTTCTCAAAATCCGATTCTATACCAGGAGTCAGATAACAACGTTAAGATACAGTTTTCAGGATCAGATGCCCAATGAATCCGGCGCTTCTTGTTAAGTTCTCACCAAAGGCTACAAGTCTGCAGCTCTGAGGTGACACCACAAACTCCGGTGCTTGAAGCTGGTTTTAAAGGCCTCAGGCTCAGAGCCGCCACGCCTGAAGTGCTTTTCAGTCGTGAAAGGGCACTGAAACAGCAACTGTTTTTCCTTCAACGCTTTGCCATTCCACTAGTTGATTCGCTAGCACAAAGAATTAGGGGGAAAAAAGTCCGATTACTGCTGTTCTCGCTGCGCTGTACAGCACCGCTCGGGAGTCACTGCTGTCCTTTCCACAGCTGTTTGCGTTACACTGGAGGCACACGCTGACCAGCTGAACTTTTTATTCCTTCGTGAAGAGAAACACAAGAGGCCGAGCTCTGCCCTCCCCCCCCCCCGCCAA